GGCAGGAAAACACATACTTACACACCAACACACAATGCATGCATACACATGTATATACTTGGTATATTAGAGAGCTCCATAGTGGGTCAGTGTGGCTGATATGTAAATAGTAAAGAAAGTAGGCAGAGATGATGTTACAGAGGTAACATCTACTTAATCTCTTTAAGATTAACTTCAGTAGGGATAAGTGAAAGCCAATAAGGAATTTTAATCATAATAATGAAACTGTAATCTATTTATACTTTTATCTAGATTAATATTGCAAGGATATCTCACTTATTCCAAACTATTCTTGACATTCAGGCTTTGAATTTGCCATTTACTCACAAAATTATCTTTTATCTCTGCCAAGCCTCGGTTGGTTTCAATAATGATAGCTATTCTTATAGCTAATATAATATAAAAAGAGCTATCATTAAGATCAAAGTGATCATATGTATTTATGAATACATACATGTATATACATGTAGATAGAGTATATAGAGAACATAAAAATTACCATTAAAATATGAACATTAATTGTCTACATTTAGAGAGTGAAAAAGAAAACTTATATTGTTCCAAGTATGTACTAAAGATTTTACATGTATCAATTTATTTAACTCTCACAATATAATCTTTGATGACCATAATAAGGAAATGAAGTATTTATGACTATATCTCAGGTCATAGATCTAGCAGGTGATGCTCAGATTCAAAGCCGGGCAGTGGGTTCTTATGTCTTCAGGATGTCTTTCCATGAGCACAATTGACAACACTGTGGAAAGGTCAGTCATTCCTATTTTTTTAAGGTTACACTGGATGCACAATATAACACTTTTTAAAATAGTAATACATACACATCTCTACACAACATCAAAATAAAGCAGGATAGAAAAGAAACTAAGTTAGGGCATGATTGGATATTACTCCAGTGTTTTTTAATCCATTTAATAGTCAGTATACTTAGCATGAGCAAAAGGTGTTCCCTCTGAGTCGCTGGACCACAGTCTGTGGCAGATGGCGTACATCTACCATTTTGTATCAGAAAACACAGATGTTTACATGCTGTTGGAGAAACATGCTCATTTGTTCAATGCAGAGAATGGTAGAGGATTCCATGACATTGGTAGCTGATGAAGGCAGTTAGTTGTCTCTGGCTAGTGCTGGATCTACATTCCTCTCTGTGTTTAATTTCTTATTTCTTATCAGGCAGAGATATTCTTCCTTGACAATATTCCACATGTGACTGACCCTGCGACCTCAGTCTCTTTGGTCTCATTCATCTCAAATAAGCTTTTATAAGACTAAAAAGAACATACTTCCTGTGGGAGAGGAAGTAATTTATTTTCTATTTTTCTCTCAGTCTATTGCTCCTTCATTTAGAGTTCCAGGAAGCTGCTCTGTTTTGTTTTTTTTTCCCCTGAAAAAAAAATCCTTTACAAAATAACTTCAAAAACAAACAAATGAGCAAAATAGAATCAAAGACTTGGAAATAAAGAACCAACTGACAGTGACCAGAGGGAAGGTGAGGAGGGAATAATAGGAAAAGAAGAGGAAGGGGCAAGCAAAGGAACACAAATAGAGGACTCATGGGCAAGGGCAAGGGGGGGGGATTGACGGTGGGAGTGGGGGGATGGAGTAGGGGTGAGCAATAGGGAAAAAGGTGGGGCAACTATAACTGAAAAACAATAAATTTTAAACACACACACACACACACACAAAATAATCCACTTCCACGTGTACTTACAGAGTACTCTAAAATTTAAAGAGCTCAACCCAACACATTAAAGCTGTATTTCCGATATTAAAGGAGCAAACCTTTCAGTCTACTTCACATAGTTGTGAGGTTGTTATTTGTTCTTAGAGAAATAAGGAAGACTTCATGTGAAAGACAGATACAAATCTGAGGCAAAAGCAAGAGGATTTTCTTTAAGATCAGCGGTCAGTGAAATGAAGGAAATAGAGACAACCTGGAGCACAGCCAGGAAATCCACTGTCTTTCTGTGGCCAGACCTGATAATCATGTAAAAGACCCGATTAAAAAGATACCTGTGAATTTTTATTACAGGGTATCTCAATCTTCAAATTAGTTTATCCTGTAACTTATCAGGTTGTGTGAATCTTAATTATTTGTCCTTAGACTAATGTATTTCTATGACCCCTCTTTTCTGCAAATGACCTCTCCATTTTTCCAGAAACAGAGAGTGAATCAAATGTCTTCTGTAATTCCTGCATTTCTCTTATACGTTTGAGGCAATATCTTCCAAAAGCTTGTCAATTTCTCCTCATCCACAGCTGTTTTATCATCCCCTTTTCCCCATGTAATTGCTTCTGACATTGCCTAAATCCTCGCTTATAAAGCTATTTCTTTACAAAAGCCACTCCATGGTTTTTCAAACATTCATTTTCACATGTTCATTCATTTAATAACTATTTGTTGAATAAGTTCATGTCATAATTGTTCCAAGTACTAGGGACTTAAAATAAGTGAGAAAGAGAAAATAACTTTCTCAAGATAAATAAACCATCAACAAAGTAATTACAGAAATTACTATTTGCTGAAGAAAATTAGTATCTGAACTTAACAAGAGAGGGGCAAATTTATATCAGGAATAGTCTCCCTAAGGAGTAATGTTTGGACAGGGGCCAGAATATAAAGAAGGAATCTGCCATGGGAAAATATTGGGATGGAAATCTGAAAGCTGGAATAGTGAATTCAAAACTCTGAGAACAGTAAGCAAACCTCTGGTATGCCAGAAATACAAATAATGAGCCAACGTGGTTGATGTGTACATAGCGTAGGTGAGAATGGCAAGATATCTCCTTGCAGAGAAAGTATGGACCTGACAACTTAGAACTCGTCTTCAGTAGTCGGGGGTGAGAAGCCATTATGGAATTTTAATCCTGGTAATGACATAATCTGAAAAACCTCTATACTCTTAGATAGACTATTATTCCTAGAATAGTCTGTTCATTACAAATATTGTTTTGCTCAGGTGTTTTTTATTGCCTTCCAACAGAAGTAATCTTTTCAACTACTAAAGGTGTGAGTCATCCAGCCCTGCAAGTATGCATGTATGTGTATGTCAATTACAAAGCTACTTTCAGTTAAGTGGTCTTAAACTGACAGAATCTAGATCTAAATCTAGGTTCCAAAGAGATAAAGAATGTATCTTCTGCCCCCCACTCCATCATCACCATCCTAGGCCCCTTGACATTTAGATTCAAAATAATAGAAGAGGGATAAAGAGAAGAGGCTGATTGATTAAAAATGCATGTAGCTCTCATTTGTTGACTGGGTAAAATGGTTCAGTGCCATGAATAGTGTGTTTACTCTGTTTAGGGGCATAATGAGGAGCCATAGAATATATAAAGACTGGGCTGTTGACAATCTACAACTGCAATAGTCATTGGACTCTCATCCTTATTGTGGAAACATAAGGTGAAATTAGAAAGTGATTCACAAGACAAATTCTGATCATTGTGTGGGGCAATAAAATGCCTAAATGAGTTAAATTTGACAAGAAATGGCACTCAAACTTGTAAACTGTGAAGATCTTAAGCCTTATAATGAGGATTTGACTCAAGGCCTGAAGGTCAAGACTCCCTGAGCAAACTAGCAATAACTCCTCTAAAAGGGATTCAATTAATGCCTCTCTTACATGAAGGTCCACAGGTCAGTGCATGGCCTTATTAGATTCACCCAGGCTCGGAGCTCTCAGTCCTCTACCACCACCTCCATCCTTCTCCTCTACCCCAGTCAATCAGATACCATGTCCTTCTTACTCTATCTTTGCTCATTCTTTACTTTTTTATAGATCTCACTGTTCTTCTTATGTTTAGCCCATTATGTCTGTTTCCCTGCATTAACATCCATGTCCAGGCTTTGTAACTTTGAATTTATTTCTGTGTGCATTAAGCTTCCCCCTTCCAATCTTATTTCCTGAGACATTTAAAGTTCTACTCTTGCCAATAACAAGAGTAAAAAAAATAGTTTGAAAAGTGACCACTTTTTATATATTTAGGGCCTTGTATTATCTAGTCTTTTTTAGTACCTTACCTATATTTTATTCTCTCCTCTATTTCCAGAGGGATATTTTCATGCAAATCTCCAAGCCCTAGCTTGCTGGTTTGAACTGTGAGCTTTTGATAGTATCTTATCTCCTAGATGAAGTCTTGGACCTTCTTTCCTCTTAAAATTAACATGATATCCTAATTCTAACTTTATTTTTGTGCATGTTGCATTCAATTAGAATATAATGCACAATGATTTCATGTGTTTCAGCCTTGGCTCCCCAGTGAGACTATGAAACCCTCCTGGAAAGTGCAGGCTATTATTGGTTAATAAAGACTTTTTCTGGAAAGGCTCCAGCCATCCTTCAAATCACCCTGTTATCTCCAATTCTATCTCACAAGACGTATGACAAGCTGTGTGAGTCAAAATGTCCATTAGAGTGAATTGAAATATTAACTCAAGTTTAGACCTGGGATCCCTACAGAGAATTTTCTTTTCTTTTCTTATTTTTTTATTAAGTGTATTGAGGTGATAATATAGGTTCCAAGTGCACAATTCTTTGAGTCATTATCTGTATATTGCATTGCGCGTTCACCACCCAAAGTCTGATGCGTATTATAAATCTATTTTGTTTTTTCTTAGGCACTGCTTACCACCTTCTTCTTTCCCCTCTACAGTAAGATTCTGCCACACTGCAGTATAAATCCATGTCCATATAATTAACCTTTTCCCAACTGCGGAAAACTTTTCACCATCTTTCCATCCTCCCAGACCCCCTAGAATCCTCCCATAATGCATACTTCTCAAAAGAGCTCTCTTTCTTCCCATGTTTCTCCTCTAAAACAAGAGTAAAAGATGAAAAAAATACAATATAATTTATGATTACTGAATAGAATGTACTTTATTAAGCAGAAGATGTGCTGTCATGACCAAACCCCAGTTCCCATTTTCAGAAGGAAAGTGATGGGGACACAGGTGGGCACTGGTGAACGGGAAAGAGGATTTAGTGGTACTTGTGGGCCAGAGCATTGGCAACACCAGCCACCAGCTTCTGCCAAGCAGCTTGCACATCAGGGGTGAATTCCTTGCCAAAATGAGAAGCCAGAATGATCACCAGCACGTTGCCCAAGAGCTGTTAGGTGAAAGAAAAAATGTTGAGTAAAAGTTTCTTAAATAAGTTATAGAAAACAGTGGCTTAATACCTAAACTCCCTGCCACCTCTGTACCTGCAAATGCTGTAAGGGTCGTGCTAACCAATAAACTCAGATAAGCTGGTCCTTAAATTTATTTTCTATGACCTCTCCATTCAATATTCTGCCTACCTATATCTCCATCTTCACTTCCATTTCACCATTTTTGTTTGCCTTTATCCATCCCTCTTTCCTTTACTCATTGTCTAATTCCTGTAAGCAAAGGATTTCAGAGCTGCATGGGCTCTCAGAGTGTGTTCAGCTAGTCTTCAACCATTGCCAGAAAAAGCATCCACTTGGTCACCATACCAACATGTAATTGAACATATTTTAAAGGAGGTGTATTTTTTGAGACATTCTGTGTAAAATTTTTTTTCCAAAATCTCTTCCTAAACTTTAATTATTGGGAAATACATAAAATAATGCATTTCTCCTTCTTGAGATAGGATTTTGTCTACCAAAAGCCAAATTCCATTCCTCCTTAAACAAGTTTGCTATTATCTGTTATTATTCTGTAGGATAAACACATCCAGTTTTGACAAGCATTTTTTAAAAGTTTTAAGCAAACTCAGGTTGCTTGTCACTTTTTACTGTCACCAGTCTTGAATATTGGTTATTCCCACTGGGAATCTGCTCTCCTAACCCCATAACACATAGTTTCTGAGATCTTTGTTAGTTTTACCAATAAAAGACTTCCATTATTATCCCAAAGTGAAGAAGCAAAACAGAGCACATAAACATTTTCTGAACTCACCTTGAAGTTCTCAGGATCCACATGCAGTTTGTCACAATGCAGCTCACTCAGTTTTGCAAAGGTACTCTTGAGGTTGTCCATGTTCTTAATTGCATCTCCAAAGGAGGTCAGCACCTTCTTGCCATGAGCTTTGACCTTAGGATTTCCCATTATGGCAGAGGAAGAGGACAGGTTGCCAAAGTTGTCAAAGAACCTCTGGGTCCAGGGATAGACAGCCAAAAGCCTATAGAATGGAACCATAGCAGATAGAAAAATCAAAGCCTCCCCCGCAAAATTAGAAGACTTTACTGATCAATTTTCAAGGCTCACAGTCACCATCCTTGCCCTTGCATTGAATCCCAGTTCCTACCTGCCCAGTGCTTCGCCTCCAGCCTCTTCCACATTTATTTTGCTCCACACATTAGTGATAGCAGCCTTCTCCTCACTAGTAAAATGCACCATGATGTCAGATCAGAGAGCTTACAGAGATCGCAGAAGTGTCGAAAGCAGGTATGTCTGTTGCTGGAAGGGGCAGCTTTTTATTCTTTACTACTCACCTTCTGGCCCCTTGTTCCTCTTAGTACTTGGAAGTCATTGGTCAAGGTTGAGCTGTGTCCCTCGGGGGTGGAGTCTGGTCAGAAAAGGGTCAGCAATGAAGTTTGCACTCTAGTTTGTGATAATGTGTTTGGTTTCTGAAATATCTTTCTTTTGTTGGTTCCTTCTTCATTGCCAACACAATTTTTCATTCACTCACCCTCTTGTCTTCCTATGTCATCCTCCAGGACAACATTTATCTCTCCCATTCTCCTTCTTCAAGTAAGACCCATAGAGAAGAGCTAAGCCCAAGACAGTGAGAGAGTTCTAGTCAAAGCAGCTTAATATTTGTGTTAAGAATGCTGACAGGGACAAGAACAGGGCCAAGAAAAAAAAAATACAATTGACATGGAATCTCAGCCATTTATATTTCTGTTAAGAGGTTATCCTTATTACTAAGCTTCTGCATCTTAGTTTTCCAAGGGGGACAAAACACATACATGGTTACCTCAGGAAGCTGAACAGTATAACAAAGGATTTACAATAGGATTGAGACTCAATTCCAAAGTACAATACCTCAGGATGATTTCACAGAGAATAACAGAATGAACTTACATCCCATGCTTCCCAGAAGTCCTATCACTATCCATTCCTCTGTTACTACAGAGGAAACTGGCTACTTTAGGGAGGTTGCCCTGAGCTCCCTTCTTGATTTTCTGCCTTAGTTATATGGGTTTATACAAGTGAGACAACTTAGGAGTCTGAAGTTTTTTGAAACCAGGATTTATGATCAAACTAAAGAATAGATGAATCAATGTTAATCAGGCTAGGAGTTGGAGTATGTTTAATATTTGCTATAGCCATAGATGCCAGAGGCTTTAAATTTCTCCAGTGTCCTTACATTTTGATGCCCCTGTTGTCTTTTAGGTTTCCTAGTATTCATCATGAAACAGAGTCTGCACCTGTAACTTTTTCAGTTGCCACATCGTTATTATATTTGAGTCTGGTTGATAATGGTGGTGAGGAATGGAGGAGAAGCATTCTATGTGTATAAATAAATATCAGTCTTTTGTGGACCAGTTTTCCTGGGCTGTGACCTTCACAAGTGGTTCTTAGTTTTTTTTTCTCCCTTAAGAAAGTCAGGAAGTCCTCCCTGAGTTAGACCATATATCCTAGAATGACAGGATTCTAGAATGAGAAGAAGATATTTGATCACTAAAGTGGAAGAATAATGAATAAACAAGAAGAAGCTGGCTATTCAGGAAAGAATAACCCTTGGGTTAATACAAGTTTTTTCTTTTTTAATCCATTGAATAGGGCTCTAGGTTTTCAAAGCAAACTTTCTATGAATCCACAATGTGAGGAAACTGACCTTTCCTTAGATCTTGGGTATGAAGTTCAGGCATTGACAAAGCCCAGGAAATAAAAAACATGTCTCTTAGTTTTCCAAGGGGGACAAAACACATACATGGTACTTAAAAGACTTTTAAAAAGAAACTCTTGGTGGATCATGCTAATGCTTGCTTTCTTTATGCCACCATCTTCTTCCACATTCCCATACAAAATGTCCAGTGAAGCCACAGAAACCATCCTTGTGACAGAGCAGGAGTTGCCACAGCCCAGGATTCTGGAGCAGAATCTGACAATGACAAATCAGTATCAAATATCCAGGAACAGCATCCCACACAGGCAACCACACAAGCCCAGCTGGCGGCAGCAGCTGAAATCGATGAACCAGTCAGTAAAGAAAAACAGAGCCAGGGTGAAAAGAATGCACAAAAGGCAATGTACAAACTGGGTCTTCAACAGGTTACAGGTGTTACTAGGGTCCCTATCCAGAAACCTAAGAATATCTTCTTTGTCATCACAAAACCAGATGTCTACAAAAGCCCAGCTTCAGATACCTACATAGATTTTGGGGAAACCTAGATCAGGAATTTATCTCAGCAAGCACAGCTAGCAGTTGCTGAAAAATTCAAAGTTCAAGGTGAAGCTAGTTGTCTCAAACATTCAAGAAAACACAGACTCCACTGTATAAGAGGAGAGTAAAGAGGAAGAGGTTGATGAAACAGGTGTGGAAGTTAGGAACATAGAACTGTTCATGTCACAAGCAAATGTGTTGAGAGCAAAGACAGTTGAAGCCCTGAGAAACAACAGTAATAATATTGTAAATTTTATTATGGAATTAAAAATGTAATCATCTAAAACTGTGGACCTTTTTTTGGTGTTTCAAAAGAGTAATGGGCAGCTTGGTTTAAAATTTGTGTTGTTTCTATTATTATTAATAATGTTATAGCTTCTTGTGGAATGAAAAATAAAACTCTGAAATTTGTTCAAGATTAATCCCTGCCTTTCAGGGTATCCAGTAGCATTTATACTTTTGTAAGAGCTGTGCAGCATTTTAATTAATGTAAGATAATTCTTTTTAGCAGGGAAAAATCAAGTATTTTCTTAAATCTTGCTAGCTAATTTATGACATGTGTAATAATCTTATAAATCAAATATTGTATTATCCCACTGCTGGGATTATACTCTAAGAATCATGAATCACCAATTCAAAAGAACCTATGCACCCCAATGTTCACTGCAGCAATACTTGTAATAGCCAAGTGCCCATCAGTAAATGAGCAGATCAAAAAACTCTTGTACATTCACACAATGGAATAGTACGCAGCAGAAAGAAAGAAGGAGCTCCTACCTTTTGCAACAGCATGGGTGAAACAGGGGATTATTATGCTAAGTGAAATAAGCCATCAGTGGAACCTAATCAACAAAACAAATGACCAAAATAGGACCAAAGATGTGGAAATGAAGAACAAACTTTCAGTGACCAGAGGAGAGGAGGGAGAGGAATAATGGGGGAAAGAAAGGCGAGGGGCAAGTCTAGGAACATGAATAGAGGACTCACAGGCAAGGACAGTGGGGGGAGATTGACCGTGGGAGTATAGTGGGGAATGGGGCTGGAGGGAATAACCAGAAAAAGGCAGGACAACTGTAACTGAACAAAAATAAAAAAACTGTATTATCGTTAGGTGCTGTTACTATGTAGAATTATATAAATTACACTGTTGTTAGATAAAATAGATCTTTAATCCCACTGCATAGTTATTATGCTATTATTTGAGAAAAATACTTCAAATGTTGTTTTTCATAACAAATGAGTTATTTTATTTTTAACAAAATTAGAAAGTTATAGATAAGGTTTATAAGTCACTGAAAGTGCAAAAAACTGCTTAGAATATTTTATTAGAGAGGAAAGAATTTCCTCTGCTTCTCTTACGCATTTGAATTTATGTTCTTATAACAGAAAAAAGTGAGAGCAAAGGTTCTGTTAGGTGTTGCAGCAGGCTGAAATAACTCAGAGAAAATTCTTGTAGTTGCCACGCATGAACCAATCAACAATTTTGGGTATGATCACACAGAATGAGAAAATAGATCACAGCCTGTGGTCAGGCAACACTACTGCTTTCTGCATCTTCTTTTACAAAGGTTTTATGTGACTCTGAACCAGAACTGGGGCTCATTCTGAGTGATTATCTTTTAGTTGGTGGCTTACAACATGGACATTGGTGGTTTGACTGGCCTCTGGGACCACTTAGCCCATGCTGTAGCCAGATGTAAATATACATGTTAATTAAGCAGGAGGAATCTTCACTGGGAAGTGGAAATGGAAAGCCGGAACAGACCAACTATTATACTTTTCTATATGATATACCTTAAAGTTTAAAGCTTGAATCTAGCAACCTAGAAAGTTATATGTTTCTCACTTTCCCCTGAAATGGAGCTTTATTTTTTGGTTTTCTGATGCTTTTTAACCTTAAGTAAAATTGCCTTCATTTATTTTTATGATTAAAATTCTGGGAAATTTGTGGTCTTTCTATTTAAATGGTACTGCTAATGTATTCTATGACCTAAGAACAACATAAGAAAAAATGTCTCTGAAAGAGTTAGAAGAAATGACACCATTGTTAGAGCCAGTGCTTTCTAATCTTTTTCTAAGTTTATTGTACAACCATAGGTCATTGGTTCACATGTCATGGCTTTTACCCAAGACCTAAGTGGAAATTAATAGTTCCTATGAATTATACATGTTTCAATATGTGTGTTGAATTATACAATATTTCAATTTCAACTTCAGGTTGATTCAAAAGGGCTCTTCTAGATATGACTTAGAATTCCACAACCAGAAATGAAAGAAAAAGATTAATTCTATGCTAAGATTCTGTCTCACTGCTAGAAGATTGGGAAATTCTTGGTGACTTGAATTCTAAAATATGTTAATGACTTTTTTTTTTTAACCTAGGCAGGCTTTCTTAGCACTTTGGGCATTCCGTATTGAACGTATAGCATAACATGTTTCCCAAGGTGGGGAAAAAAACTATATCTCTCTGGCAAAGAGTAAATTTAAGGTTTGGTAAATAAGCAGGGTGTAAATGGAAGCAGCAATGAAGAATTATGAGATACCAGAACCTTTGGTTGGTGTGACCTAGTGGGTGCAGTTAAATGATTGCTCCTCCCACAAACCCCTGTAGCCCTTCCTAATTCTAGCCCTAAAACAGTTCTTTCTGAATCCAAAAGCCCACCACCCGTACCTTACTGAGTCTGAGGCATATGAGAGGGAAAGAAACACTTCTTATGTTTCTAGCCCAACAAGCTACTGCGGTTCTGTACAGGCATTTCACTCAGACACCAGTGTCACCAGTCCTTTCCTGTACCTGTTTGTTTTTTTGTTTGTTTGTTTGTGTTTCTTTGATTATTTATTTTCTTTCTTCCTCTTCTTCTTCTTTATTCATTTGTTTTCTGAAGTATTGGAGGCATTTATTTATTTATTTATTTAATGAACAGAGGCAGACAGATGCAGTGTTTTTCTCCTGGGGACCTAGGCTGGTGAGAGCTGGGTGGGGTCAGGAACTGTGGGCACAGATAAG